AAAAAAAAAAAAAAAAAAAAAAAAAAAAAAAAAAAAAAAAAAAAAAAAAAAAAAAAAAGAAAAAAAAAGGAAAAAGGAAAAAAATTAGGAGAAACCGATAAGATCAGAGACTTTCGTTTCAGGTACAATCATAGCAGCCATAGGTTTTGGGGTATTCGCGGGCCTAATTTGGCTGCTACTGTGGCTGACCTTCACCAGTCCGATGCCATCTCTAATCCTCTCAAGTCTGACACTCGGCTCTTTCTTCTTCTGCCTCTTCTACTTCACAATTCCAGGTATAACGCGCGGAAGAAAACGACGCACCAAATACATTCGGGAAGAGCCGGACGAGAAAGAAAGAACATTTCCATTCGAACAAGCACGCTTTCGAGAGTCGTCCGACTTCCTTCTCCCACCACTCCCCTACCCCCTCGTCTGGAGAAAAATCGGCAAGAGAAATAAGGAAGGGAGAGCGAGAGAAAGAGAGAGAGAGAGCAGAGGAGGACCGCGTTGCAAATTATAGGAAAATAATGAAAGCTGGCTTAAAATGTGGCTGAGCCCTCGATGCCCGCACAGGCCCGAAGCTAGAGCAGCCCAGAGTTTGGTGAAGGGATGAAGAAGCCCCCCCCCCCCAGCGCTGCTATTCCATCAATGCTGCTCGCTCATGCGGAAACTCGGGATCCCCTCTCTCTCTATCTCCCGCCTTTCTCACCATAACGTCGCTCCAACCGTCTCCCTTGTCTCGCGGCCACCCTCGCCGATCTCCGCTCGTACCCCTAACGCGCGTACGTACGTCTGTACGCGCGTGTAATCGCATGTGCCGTCGTAGCAGTACAGTCCCACGGACAACTAACCGGCTTGCCTATCGTCCCCTTACCGCCCATACTACTCGCATTTACCTAATTGTGTCTCCAGTATTTATTTAGTGGCTGTTTGCTACGTTGCGAGCCCCAGTGCGTATGACTGCGTAAGAATTACCCAAAAATATGATCAATCTGCCGAGCCGGTGGACATGCCGGCCGGCTGGTCTGTCGATGTTCGCGCCCTTATGTGCCCTTCTCTCTTTTTTCCTCCGTTACTTGGCAATAAGTGTATTTCATCCTAAACTGCGAGCGGAGCAGATTGCCCGAAAGCGCGTAATTTATTCACTTACCGTAAATCTCGTGGTGCCTGAGAGTAATTTGTCGATCGGGCAACAACGCGATTCATCCTGCTTCTCTTTTCTACCGTTCCAGCTGGATTTCTGTACCTCGAGGTCGACGCCTACTTTTGGATGCTGTACGCGTCCTTCGTGACAACCACGTTCATGGCAATTAGCCTGATACCACTTTTCGGCAACATATTTTGCTTCACACTCGTCGGTTCTTACGCAACGATTTTTGCTATCGACCACTTCAGCGGATCTAACCTTAAATATTTGGTTATAAACGGCTTGAGGCGCGCCACCATACCAAACTTTGGGCTCGCCGTCGTTGAGCCTCCCTACCAAGGCAGAGGTATAAAACACCCGCTTGATTAACGATTCCCAGCTCCGATACTCATATTAATACTTTTGTAGACGTGCTGCTTACCTTTCTATGGGCATTCCTCGTGATCATTGGACTGTACAAACAGTGCGTGGCCAGCTGGAATCGAGCACCTTTTCCACCGTCACCGGCATATGTCAGCCCCGGGAACGAACGAACGCCGCTCTTGCCAGAACAAAGATACCAGATCTGACGTCATTTCGATAACGATGGCTCGCACCATTGATACTATTATTTTTGAGGAGGTTACGTCAATTGTGGTATATACTTACTTTCCATGTACCAATGTTTTGTATAGATATACGACGATTTTTGAATCGTGACTCTCCGATGATGCACATATGTAACCAAGTCGAGGTATATTCTTTGTTGTACAGGTTAAATTTGAGGTTATGCACGTGTTATCACCGTGTAATTTCGTAAGTGAGAGAATGTTTTTATGAGCTTTTGATATGTTTGTATTTTTTTTGAAAGTCTGATTAATGCATATAGATTTTTATCAAAAAAAATTTTTTATAAAGAGACACATTACATGAAAAAAAAAATTTGGAGAAAAGTTATGGGAGTAAAGGAATCTAGACTAGTTTACGTGAGAAAATTCCAATAACGTTTATTTTAATTTCAATTTTTACCTCCTCGTTCAAGTCAGCGCAAATTGTTACAATATTTTCGCAACTCGCCAAATCCACACATTTACACAACACACCTTATACTCACGCACACTTAACCTATACAATTTTCAACTCACACATCGTACACATTGGGTTTTTTTCTTTCACCATACAACCGTTGCGATATATGTAGAATCGCCCCTCAGAAAATGAAATAACATTTATTGTTGACACCTAACGATATTCGTTTGCCCTTTTGTTTCTTTGCGTTTGTTTTTGTTATTTTCTGTCTCATCTAGTGGCTACTACTTACAATCTTAAAAGGTAATCACAGCAACAATATTATTCTCATTATTCACAACACTTACATTTTTGGATTACTGTCGCGATATTACAATAATATGTATTTATATATATTTNTATATATTTTTTTTCATTTCGTTCAATTCAGTTTACTTAGACTTTTACACGGTGGACTCTTTTTTTCTTTTTTTTTTTCTTTTTTTTTTGTTTCTTATGATTGGGGAATGAAGTATACATTGGGACGTCGAGTCGCCGAACGTCAAGCAGCGTTATATGTATGTATCACGCAGTACATAATATGTCATGTGATCGCACATTTTCGAACAAATTATCACCATCAAAGGAGTACACGATGGATCCACATTTCGTTACATGTACAATAATTTGGTTTTTTCGCAGGTATATGTATCGTATAAAAAGATTTTACGAATAAAACAACGAATAATTCTATACAATATCATCCTCCGTTCGACACAAAACAATGTCTAATGCAACGAATTTTCGAGTGTTACAAACAAATATTTCACAAACACGTGAAAAACAAAATCAACGATCGCCAAACACCTCCTGGTCGAAAATAAGCATAAAGTCTCGGGGGAAAAAAAAACTTTCTCCGTGGGATGAAAATCGACCATGGATACCCTAAAACAAGCGATAATTATCCCAACAGGGCTCGCCATGGCGTTACACAAACAATCGGCCCTCGCGCTTCACTAGGACCGAACAATCGGAGCACCCTCCGAGCAATCGACGAGCAAACGAAAAACAAGAAAAAAAAAAAAAAGTGAAAAGCGCAAAGCACCCCCTGCCACGGCACGACACACAATAATCGAACGTTTTGCCGGTGAGGCGCAACAAATCGCATTTCTCGCGTAATAAAAACGAAACGCGGGACGAGCTCAACCGAAGGAGAAGCACACCGAGAAAGCGAGAGGAAGAACCGCTGCTGGCGACGTCTGCGAATAATGCACAATAAAGCGAACGACGGGAGGGAAAACACTCGCCTGCTCTCGCTCTACCTTTTCTAATTATCACGGCTAACGAGACGCGTGCGCGGGCGCGAACTTTGACACTTTCCCCCTCTGCGAACTCGCGTCTTTCCGTCACACCCCTTCCCACCCTCTTTCCACAACGAGATTATAAATGCTCTTGTCTCGCCGTGTCATCATCGTTGAAATTTGTTTGCGCTTCCAAAGGTAGAATCGTACATCATCCCGCGCAAAGCGTTGCAAACGATCGTACGGCACCTCTTGTCGCTCGTCAAATTTACACGCATATTCTTGTTACACTCGATAACTTAAAAATACATACATCAAATTATCGTCATTTTCCGACACATGATTAATCTACTATGGCGTTTGAGATTGCACGGGGTCGTCGACAACGCCGACGATTGTTACGCTTTTTACGCCTCGAGGTCGGCTCATCGCGAGAGCTGAGTCGTATAAAAATGCTTTATACATTTCAACGTATTCGTAAAAAAAAAAAAATAAATAAAATTTATGCTCTGCCTATATCATTTATATTTCGTTCGGTGGTGAAGGGATTGGGGGTTGGTGACACTCTGCTTTTGTATTATATCTGTGATGTTTGCTAATCATACTTAACGATATTGCCAGCGCACGATTGCTTAACTATTGGCTGCAGCGACAAAACGACGAATAATACCTGTTTATACGTGACTATTATTTATTTATTTATTTATTTATTTATCCATCTGTGTGATTATTGTATTCGCGTGGGCTACATGACAGCAACTTTCTTGTTTATACTTGTTTATCAACTTGGAGGAAATAAACGGCGTTATTACAAACGACAATGGATAATGAAAAATCAGTGCCAAGGATCTTTCATTCGCACCGCAACTCTTCGCTATGCGCAAGTAACGAATGTTGTGTGCGGTTTGTACAAGCGCTCGAGTGCACTCAAAGAGAGCAAAGTTCGTGTTTCACTTTGCTCGGAAGGATTTGCACGTCGTGTGGCGATTTGACGATGTCTCCGACAAATAGAGTGGTAGGTACTGGGTTTTTGCATATAGCTTCTCTGTTCAATGTAAATTAATACGGCGAGCGTTTAACTTGTATGTTATACGTAGGCTTTTGTTTGGATGATTAAATGATAGTCTTTCACACGTTTATTTGTGTTATGAGTAATCGAGATCGTGCTGGGAATGTAAATGGTTTCACGCGTGCGAGTACGAGGCTGTTGCGACGTTCGACAGTACGTGTAGTGTGATGTGGCTTTTTCTCTTTTCCATTGGCTCATTCTCTATGTTTTATATGGTGCGTGTATAATTTTTTGGGATTCACATCGAGTGTGTCTTCAGAGCGTTGAAAGTTTCTTCCTTCTTTTGTGCGTAGGTCGTTTTTTTTTTCTTTTTTTTTTACTTACATTCATAAACAAGTATGTACAGAGCCGATCTTTTTTGTTTCTTGGTTCCTTAAAGTATCTAATATACACTAGTTTCTAACATGAGTATAACAAATACTATCTTACTGTGTCTTTATTAATTTTTTTTTCTTTTGTACAATTAACAAAGATCATATTTTTCCGCCACGAATCTTTGTCTCGATTTTTTTTTTTTCTAAATTTTTTGTCAAAATCTACTCTCTGCTACCTTTCCCGTCACTCCGATGGACTGATCTCACGTTTATGTTCGTAATTTTTGTTTCGTTCAACTTCGTTGGGTGTACCATATAATCATATCGGGCTATCAGCCACACAATGGGTTTTTGCTTGGAGTTGATTTTAAAGTGATTGTTTTGCCACAGAAAAAAAAGGTACCTCACAAACCAAAATTTCGTTTGTCACATAACACACGTAGGATAAAATATTGACGTATCCCGTGCTTTTTCATCCAATTTTGATACACGATATACGATTTCTTTACTTCCAGCTACAATTATCAAACTTCTTATTATTTTTTTTTTTATAAAATTTTATACTTTGATCTAAAAAAAAAAAAAAAAAAAAAAAACTCAAATAAGACTTTTCCGGCGCTCTTTTTTTCAGATACCGCAGTCACTGTATGGATCCAAAATGNAAAAAAAAAAAAAAAAAAAAAAAAAAAAAAAAAGGGTATATTACACACACGGCCGCGAGCAGTATGTAACTCATCGTCCAATCCCGCAACGCCAAAGACAGCAGCCGTCCGTGTAATGCGCGCACGCAGTGTATAAATATACAGCCGCTCCATCCGCACTTCCTCGCACGTATGTTATACACGTGTGTATAGTTCGTACCTATATGGGCAGGCCGATACACACATACACGCATGGATGTACAGATATACACACAACATCCAATGCCGACAGAGATACAGAGGAGCATCGGAGCGCGCGCCTCCATGCGAACATTTCCTCCCCCTTTGGCTTCGCACGTTATTGAGCGCTCGCCCAGCCGAGCATAGACAAGAGAGACGGAGCAACCAACCCCCCCCCCACCCTCTTTCCTCTTCTTCTTTTTTCGCCCCTCTGTCTCTTCCTTCGCTGCGTGTGGAGGTAAGACTACGTGTACACACACACACAGACATGGTGGTAGAAGCGCTAGATCGCGAGGAGAAGGGTAGGTGCGAGCGGAGAAATAGAAAGCAGCGAGACCGACTGGGATCGCATACCTGAGAAGGAGGAGGAGGAGGAGGAGTACGTGAGAAGAGCGGGGCTCGAAAAACGAGGCGAGCAACGGTAGGGCTTGGATACAGCAGTTCTCCCTCACCGGTGGAGAAAAAGAAGAGTAGCCCACGGAAAGCTAGGGAGGGAGGCATGGGAATCGAGAAAATGGAAAATTCACCCTCTTCTGTCTAAAGCGCGTGCTCCTGATGTGTGGATACTCTTTTTTTCTCCGCCACGCGCGTACAAAAGCTACATGGCAGAGTTCTTCGATTTAGCCCCCAGCCACGCGAGATTTGTTTTAAAATCCTTTTACAATTCGCGTCCCTCGCGCGAGCGCGTGTACGTAGATTGAGTGCGAAGCGAGGAGGCTCCACGGTAATCCCTTTCCTGCTTGTTTTTCGCCAACCCCCCACCCTCTTTCTTCCCCTCCACTTTTATTCTTCTTCTTTTCTCAATCCAGTATGGGTTGTACGTATGGCTCTCCTTGGTCGAGCCGTTGCAGCGTACAGTTGAAGTTTTTAAGTGGAAAACTCCCTTTTTAGTCAGACGCGTGTATAGGAATTGTTTTTCCGATGCGGAGAAGGAATCCACTCCCTGTCTGCTTTTCCTCTGTTCCTTAAGGAACCATGTGTACCGTATACATGTACAGAAATAGAATTTTGATAAATCCGAACTCTTGGGTACCGTTAGAATGCCGGTGGTAGTGTTTGAGGTGTGCGTGTGTACGATCGAAATGTCGATGGGAGGGTTGTCGATGCTGTACCTATCATTACAAACGTGGATTTGGGCTCTGAAGTTGGGATGAGTGGGAATTTTTGCAGAAAATTAAAAGGTATCACATGTAGAGCATTGGAACGTGTACTGATTATTTTATGATTCCTACCTGATTACAGGGATGGTCTAATTTTGTAGAAATTCTCCTGACACATTACGATGAAGAAACTACATATTTCGTACTTGAGATACCACGTGTCTTTGATGTCACTGGTGAAACTTATGGCCCAGCCAACGATTAAAAAATTAAGTGTCTTTATAGATTTTGAACAAAAGTTTTAACTAAGCCAATTTCTGGTTGAAAAATAATGATTGTGATAAAATGGTTTTTGTTTTGATAAAATGAATTTGGTTTTTAATCTTGGATACGCAGTAAATTTCATAAAAAAAAAAAAATTAACAACAATAATTATAATTAAAGTAGTTGCTCGAAATTTTACTTAAACGTAGTAAGAAACAAGTACCTTATGGTGAGAAAATTTACAAAGAAGTTGTACTATATCTTCTAAAAAAAAAACTTTTTGCTTTTCTAGAGTTACAGTCAGTGGTTGCTTATATATTTGAGACTGCTTTCTTTTAAATTATTTATAATTATGATGACATAAATTTCATTATTAACAGTAATAAAATTACCACTTTTATTAATTCTTTTAAAAATCAGGTATTTATTTTTAAAAAATTGAGTGAAAGAGATTACTTTGTTCCCTGCCATGTACAATACGTCTGAGTGAAAAACTTTTTCTCGTTAACGACTGCAAAATGGCACGGCCATTTTGAATACTTTAAGAACGGAATCAAGGCTATTTTGAACGATATATGCATGCAGAAAATGAATGAAAAATCTTTCAAAAAACATTTGAGCTGATAAAACGAAAAATTCAGTTAAAAAAATATGATACTATGGTAAAAACATTACGATAATCTCTTCCACGCTTTCTACACCACTTTCCAGGACGATCGGATGCAGAGAGCAACAATTACTCCAACCACGAGCTCCAACTTTTTTACACAACATTGCGGCTTTTATCCTGCCAGATCTCCCGTGCACAGCGCGCCATTAGGCCATGCCAGAAACTTTTACTCAGCAGAAGCAGCAGCCTACCCCAACTCGAGCATAATGACGAATAAACACCACCGCGCTAATGGCGATTGGACTCCCCGGACTGTAAACTGCACTGCAGCCCTATCTATTCAGAGACCGAACGCGAGGCACTACCTGTGCTTGCGTTACTGATTTATTAGCGGGACGCACTTTTTACTATTGCCCTGTAAGTGATTTCAATTAAATGTACACTTGAACAAACAAGTCGGCCCATTCCTCTGTCGGTCGAAAAATTTTTCACGAGTCGCACGCACGAACGAGCACGCGGAATCTCCGTGATATCGAGTTTTATCTCTTTTCTTCGTGTGTCCCATCGCTTGTCTTGCGCCTTATCTCGGCTCATTAACATAATGTGGTCCCGCATGTCAAAGTGGCTCCGGGCCACCCTGCAGTCGACACACACGTATAGACCGGCTGTTTGGAAAAAGGATCAACGACAAGACCGACAACACATCGATGAGGAAAACGAAAAAGGAAAAAAAAAAGAAAAAAAAAGAAAAAAAAGAGAAACAGCGCAGAGTAAGTGAGTATGCGGATGGACAGAGTAAAAAAAAGTGAGGAAAGTGGACTTACCGGTCGCGGCGGAGGTCGCAGGCTGGTAGGGCGAGCCACTGGTCCCGGTCGGCTGGCCGGCTGGTGTGGTGGGGGTGCCGGGGCCGTGCGAGGACGGCGGTAGGGCCCGATGGGTCTGGGAGTGGGCAGCAGCTGCTGCGGCCGACTGGTGGGCCGCGTGCGAGTACGACTGGGTGAGCGAATGCAGGGGCTCGTGGAAGACGTAGGCCGGGTAACCATCGGCCCGCTGCTGCAGACAACTGCCGCCCATCGAACCGCCCAAGCTGCTCGACATCGAACTGGAAAAAGAAACGGTGCAGGGTTGTTTGCCATAAGTATATATATACTTTTTATTTTTACTACATTTCACAATTTTTACAACGATTTCTTTGGTCACTTTACCATTAATTATTCACTTTGTAAGTAACACTTTTGTACAAGTTTGAAAATGAAGTGGTTGAATTTTAATGCCAAAGGGAGTAGGATTGATTCCAGGGTAATTGTTACTTAATCACAACGTAAACTACGTGGTGTTAAGAAAAAAATGACCCACCTGTAGGTGTCGGGCATGGTGGCGATGGGCTGGGGTATCGACGAGTACATGGTGTTGAAGCCGGCGTTGAGCGGTATCCTGGGGGTCGCCGGCGTGGCTGCGGGTGGCGCCGATCCATTGCCACTGCTGGCACTGCTCGCACCGCCCACCACCGTGTCCACGGACGCCCTTCTTTGGTTGCGCAGCTTTTCCTCGCGACGCCACTTGGCGCGTCTATTGCTGAACCACACCTGAAATTCACCGACAGCTAAGTTGATCGCGAGTCACGCACTTACTTTTTGTCGGGTTTTTCCTTTTTCCCTCTCACTCTCTCAGTCACACTCGTGTTTACTTGTCATGTCGTGCATGCAAAACCGTACGGGCTCGGTATCGCTTATGAAATTTGGCTCTGTTGCGATAAGTTTTTTCTTCCGTCGATAAATAAAATCAGTCAAGTTGAAAAACAAATGGGAAGAACGATAAAGAAAGGAAAAAAAAAACTATCGCTCCACGATCACGGAGCTCTCACATGGCGCGCCCACGTTCCCTTTTGCTCTATTTTCCACTCGCCCTCCTCCCTTTTCACCGCCCACCCTTGGAGCCTCTGATGCTTCCAACCAAGCTCCCCAGTTCTTTGTTTTTACTCACCGTCCCTTTTTTTCCCTTTTTTTCCACCGTCCCTCCGCTAAAGGCTTTTATGTAAAATCTTCGAGATTTCCCGTCCACGGGAAACCTGGTAATTGTAATTCAGCAATTAGCCAGTGAAAACTTGATTAACCTTGGCCGCTCTCTTGCTAATAATTTTAATTCAGAAAACCATCGCGCGCCATCGGTGGCCCGCACTAAAAATCAACCATTTATTCGCGTAATCGGCAGATTGTTTTTGCAAAGCCCACCGTGGCAATTAGAGACCACTGAGCTGCACAATTTCCAGGGTACTATCTCACTATTGGCGTTTTTCAATTAAAAAATCGGTGGACGAACGTTGGAAAGCCAATATTTCTCGACCCGTATGATGAAAAAAAAAAAAAAAAAAAAAATACTGTAAACAAAAGACAAGCAAAACCGTACAACAGACGGCAAAGATTATAGACGAATCGTTCGGTACACTAACGAATACCTACACGTACATACCCACCGAACGGAACGCGGAGCCGCCATGTCTTCGAAGCTGAGCGCGATGGCTGCCTAGCCAAGCGAAAGCTGGAGAAGGAAGAAGAAAAGCCCTAGGCAGCGAAGCAAGCCCCCCGATCTGCCGGCAAATAAGCCGTCCGCTCTCTCTCTCTCTCTCTCTCGCCACCCTCGGCGAGCCCTCACCCACGCACGCACACGCAACAACACGAGCGGGGAAGACTCGCCGTCGAAAATATAATATCCTTCCCTCCCGCTCGAACCACCCCCTCGATTACCATAGTGCTCCTCTCCTCTTTATTTCTTTCTCTTTCGCTCGAGCAGATACACCGCGCTGAGGGACGGACGTGCGTGTGCGCGCATCGATCTTCGGCTGACGCGAGTGTGGGGTGTACGTGTGCCCATGTAGGGGTGACGAAACGACGCGTCGCTTTTCTTCGCTTATCCTCCCTCTCTTTTTCCCATAGTCCTTGGTTTGGCCGTTCTCGCGTTTAGCTCGCATTTGGTGCTTCAACATATTTTTTTCGCCCTTCATTGCTGAGCTTTTAAATTTGGGTTGATTTTTTTCAAAAAAAAAGAGTTGCTTCCGTGGTTACTTTGGTGTGGAGGTATATAAAAAGGTCAGGGCCCTTTTTTTTATCTTTGGCAAACAGTCGTAGAGAAATTAAGTTGTTCCGGGGAAGTTGGTACCGCCATTAGTTTTGCGAAATTGAAATTTTTTGGATTGCCCGGGAGGAGAAATTTATTTCCCACTTTCCAAAGGATTGAGCTCGACGTTGATGAAAAAATTGGACGATCTTTTTCATCGTGGGCCGGCAAACAGGTGTGCAGTGAATAAAGAAAGTAATTTTTCAAAGTAAACATGTATTTTTATTCAAAATCGTACAACAAAACTCTTGTCCTGACAGTATACTTACAAGTCAACAAAATTAAGGTTTATATATCGACTGGGCGTTTTCATGGAGATAAATAATAAATATGTACACAGATACTTGATAAGCACCGAAATACGCGATACAAACATAAATGCGACGTCCTACACATGCGCTCTATCATCACCTACAAAATAATCGTACATCTAAGGGAAAAATTTGCTGCTAATCATCGAGATCAAACGAAATTTCATCTTTCGAAATCACTTTTACGTAGGTACAAATTTAACTCGTGTCCAAGAATTGATTTTTGTTTTGTTTTTTATTTTTCATTTCTTATGTACAAAAGAAAAAAAAAGAAAAGAAAAAACAGAACGACACGATGCACTGAAAAATCAGCTCCAAGCCACACTATCACGACGACATTGCGAGACACGCTCGGAAAGCTTATATTTTACATAATCCCATAGAGTTGAGATCGAGGCCTAAAAGCGCAAATATCATCGAAACAACGCCGCATCCATCGGAAGTTTACTCATCGATCGAATACCAGAACCTAACAACAACAACACCAACAACAAGAAGAAGAACAACATGAACGATGTCAGTCTCCTCACTCACTTACGTCGCTCGAGTTGTTGTGCAGAGGCGTGCTGTCGGGGGTCGTGCCGGCGCTGCCTGCCGGCGTCGTGGTCGAGGCCGCGCTTGTTCTCGCGACCGCGAGCGGCTGCTGGTGGTGCAGGTTGTGGTGATGAATGTGGTGGTGGGGGGACAGCTGGTTGTGCTGTTGTTGCTGTTGCTGCTGAATGCCGAGGGGCCTCAGGCTCGGGGCGAGCGCCGAGCTTGACGAGGGCGAGGGGGTGGGGGACGGATTCTCCTGGCCGACGAGCAGGCTCGCCGGTGAGAACCCGAAGAGCTGGGATCACTGCAGCCGGGGCCAGTAGTTGCCCGCGAGGTCCGGCGTCTGGGAGGGGATCTGCACTGGCACCGAGATTCCTGGGGATATCACGCCTGCAAGCAGATGGAAAATTATTATTATTATTATTATTATTTTTTTTTAATGAAAATCTCAACCTCTTTGTCCATGATTAGTGGTACGCCAGAGATTTTTGACTAGCTTAGTTTTCATCTCAAGCAAATTGCCCAATGCTCAAGGAAAAAACCAACAACTTCTTTGGGTCCTATCAATTAGCAGATTGTCAATAGTTTGGTTACAGGCGAACACGGAACATGAAAAGCACAGGACAGCTGTAAGTGATAAGTAAAAAGAATTATGTTTATTATTCAGAGTAATCAGAAGTTATGGTGAGAGCTATCATCGGGATCATTCGAAGTCGAGGTCACCCGGTACAGGCGAGTACAGGTACACCAGGTGCTAGGAGAACAAAGGGTCGACTTCCTTCTCCTTCACTCGAGCCCCGCGTACCTAACCAGCAAGAGCAGACAAACGCGAGTTGCGCATAGTTAGCGCTGGCGCGGTGGTTGCAGTTAGCCCGGGCATTCCCATGAGCGACGGATGTAATTAATCTGTTTTTCTTTCCCAATGTTTGGAGGTCCAGGTACCACCGCCACCACCACCACCACCGCTGCAGCACCAAAATAATATTGCTAACGTTATAGGTGCTCATTGAACTCTGTTCGCCAGAAGCTTGCTCGTGAAAGCACCGCGAGTCCATTCCTTTAATTTAGCCCATGGCCGCACGGTTTGCACCCCGACACGATGTGAATTATTGTTGGACGTGGCTGCAAGCACGACATATATATAAAGATCATATGCGTTAAGTTTAACTTGCTCGAGCTTATTGTTTTTCAACGCGCCCAACCAACGACTAATCTTGGCGTCGAAGATGCAGCAAAAAAAAGTGTTCCTCGAGATTAATCGAGTACTTCTTTTCTCGACGGGTCGGGAGGCTTTCCAAAAATGTGGGCCAACGCCAGACAGAAATAAACACCCGACAGATCCGAGCCAATCGAAAAAACAATAAGCCAGTCTCCCCGCGCGCATCCTTAAAAGAGGCGTTCATACGTACAATATATACCGAATGATGGGCAGTATACTTATTATGTACCTACGTGTGTTTAGGTATATACAATAAAGTCTCGAATAAACCTGCGAGAACATAAATTTATATATATAGATAGAACTTTAATGTCGAGCTCGCGTGACAGAGAGCAATGTGCTCGAGTGTGACTGACTTGACCCCTTGCACGTACCCACGTGTATATATATGTATAAATATACATGTATCCATGCCTACTACACCAGCGCGCAAGTGGGTGTTTTTGCGAAGGGGATGAGACGCGGCCGTGGCGGTGATATGCATGGTATCGCTACCGCGTGT